ATAAAAAACAAAAAGCTATAAATGCAATATCTTTACATTAGCATAACTCTTTCTACTCTTCTGCTCTTTCCAACTTTATAGGTAGTATAACAAATCCTGCTTTTGAATCTGATAAGGTAAACATCGTTTTTAATCACACTGCACTTTTTTTATCAGGAAAACTAGATACTTGAAAACTTAGAGCCTAGTGGCAAAACTGTTTGTACTGCCCTAGAAATCAAACTGGTAATTTGTTTTCATGCCAACTTCATGAATCAGATCTGTGACAGAAATTTTCTTTATTTCAAGCTAATACCTGCTGTAACACTAAGACCAAAATGGTTGTAAAGTCTGGATATCCTGTTATTCTAAGAATAATTGGTTAATTATTGGTTAATGGTGGAGTGATAGAAATAGCAGAAAATATCCATAGAGCAAGACATGCAACTGTTTTATTGTCCAAGTGGATTAGGGCTCAAAAAGGCAAATGTTTCTAGTTATTTAAGGTACTGTAGTGGGAGTTGTGCCCAACACAATTAAGAGAGGATTATATTCCAATTTATGAGTTTCTCAAGGACATCATTTAGTAAGAAATACAACAATCATTTCTCCCAAAGCCTACCATCGATAATCACACCCCCTAACTGTGCTTCGCTAAGGCAATAAACTAAATGGCAGCTCGGCAGGCAGCTAAGGCTTTTGAGACCAATTGCAGGCAGCGTGCTGGTGCTGCCTTCTACCAGCTCAAGCCATAATGCTGCCGGATTACAAAGCAGCGTTGTGTTTTACATTTTCCACCCATCCAACTTAGTAAAGTAACAAAGCCACGTATTACTTTTCCCATTTTAACGAAAAGTGATAGTGGTAGAATGTGAGCCATTTGTTCTGCTAGAAAGAACTAAACCCAGAGCATCCTTTCGACTCAACAATCTTGTGCTCTACGTAGAAAGTCTCTCCTCTCTCCGGACCTCCACAGGCAAAGACCTGACAGAACCATGGTGGGGGTCCCCCCACCCCGCAACCGTGATACCCCCAAGGCTTCCAGAAAGACTAACAGCTGTTCATGTGCGGCATCCCCCTGAAAGGCAACCTGCCACATCCTGCCAAGACAATCCCAACACGACTTAAAGTGACAAAGTGGCCGAATCCACCACAGGGTCCTCCCACAAAGCAAAGCCTTCCCCAAACGCAGTTTCCTCGGTTTTCAACAGCTCTGGCGAGAGGACCACAGCAGCAAAGCAATAGCGGCAGTAATGCAATAGCATCAGGAAACCTGGAACTGAGGAAGTGAAGACATTCCTGCAGAAAGGAGCCGCCTCCTCCCTGCTCCCCACCCGCTAAGTGGCATCAGCACAAGGTCCGGTGGCACTGGTTTGAGGACCGAGGGCTCCTCAGCGCTCACCTGGGGGGACGCGCGGCACACCGGGGCGGAAAGCAGGGGCCCGGCGCATCCTCCTCCTCCTCCGCCCCCGCCACAGCCCCGCTCCGCCGCAGCCCCCGCCCGCGCTCCCTCCGCCCCAGGCAGCCCGCTGCGCCTGGAACCTCCCGCCCGACTTCTGACGTCACGGAGGAGGGGAAGGTTCCACCCGGGCCCGTCCCTTTGTGACGTCACAATGACAACAGAACGCGGCCGCTCCCGGCCCGGAACCGGGAGCCGCGGGGGGCGGAGGGAGCCCGGGAAGGCGAGGGCGCGGGCTCGCGGGGGAGTCCGGGGGCAGGGAGGGGGCGCGCTGACGTCTCGCCGACTTAACCTGTTGCTCCGAGCCTGCGCCGCGCCGGCGGGCAGGGCCTCGGGGAGCCCGCGGGGCGGCCGCCATGCTCGGCCGTGCGCGCGGCGGGGGGCGCCC